TCCGACAAATGATTAATACATTATAAAAATACACCCGCCTGCCAAATTTTATCCGGATATTTCGAAAACTGAGAGACTAGGTTGCATACAAACAGACAGACAGACGGACAGACGGACATGGCTAAATCAACTCAGCTCGACGTTCTGATCATATAAGTATACATTTTCATGGGTCTATCTCTTTTTGTTCTGGTACTTACAAACATCGGACTAAAGTTATAATACCATTTCATGCTCATGAAAGGTATAAAAAATGGAAAATAGCACTAAACATTCAGAAATGTAGGCTTTTGCAAATTTTATTAGCTATTTGTTGATTCCGAGCACGAAAAGTGGTTTCTTGCGTTCCTCATGCTCTGAGCACTTTTGGCACGGGTTGAAACATTTTTGACACTTGTGAGAGAGTAACTTATTTTTACGCTCTAATTACCGAAACAGCCCGGAAAGCGTGTGGAAGAAACCAAGGCATATTCAACAAGGTAGAAGTGACAATTCAGTCGAGCTCTCTCATACCTGACTGTAATGCCAAAAAATGTAAACAAAGAAATTAACCCTTTGTTATGCATTTACCATATTTGATAAAACTCAACATCTTTTAAATGAAAGTTTTTGTAAATATGAAAATATTTTAGATCTCATTAGAATCAGCTTCATTTCATTTATTGAATTTTCGGTTTAATGTAAATGTGGAAATGTATACTTACACAAAAATACACACTAAGGGCGGTATTATCACTTGCGAAGCGAATGAATTTGGCGAAGCGAACGGTTTGGCGAAGCGAATGGATTGGCGAACACAACTTAAATATGCATTAAGAGTGTTCGCTTTTACCAGCTGTGCAAGTTCTTTGCAGATGACCCAAGAACTTAAGTTATATGTTTGAACAAAATATGAGAGAAAGCATAAACAAGGAGGCTAAAATTTCAAGGGGACATAGTTCTTTTTTATTTTTTGTGGACTCTTACGTTCTTTATAAAAGCGTTTGTCTTAGAATACGGGTAGTGAAATTTTCCGGCGAATAATTTTCTAGAACATTTTAACCCTCTCCCATATATCATTTTATTCAGACTTTCCAAACAACACCACCCTTTCGGGAGGGAGTTAATGGGTTAAAATGAACGCTAATCGGGTTGGAAAATGTTGGCGACGTCGATGGTAGTAGTTTTAATAATAACATTCGAGATTGACCAATTACATGTTAAAAAAACTGCTATTAAGTGGGGTTTTTCAGAACTCAAAAACAAAAAAAAAAATCAAAAATAAAATCTAAGTATACGTATATACATACATATGTACCTCAAAATATCTCATACTTTTTTATATTTTGACTTCATATTCAGATAAAGCGGAACATTTTTCCCCAGAAATGATGGTCAAATGCAACAGGTCAGGATTTTTTTTTTATTTTCTGTGAACTTGTGTTATCCTCAAACAATCCTCTAAGAAAGCGAACGACTCGAGTATCTCATAAATTACCAAATGATCTTCCAAATGCTGGCTGGGGTTTTGTATTTTAATACAATGTATGTATGTATGCAGGGATGAGTTTTCATACATACATACACATATCCACACGTAGTACATATTACATCCATTTACCTTAGCATCATTGAGTAGAATTAAAAGCTTTTTTATCCAGTTACAATAGTTAGTTAACGTTTAGTCAGCCACAATGGAGGGCTGTCTGCGGTGTTGTGTTCGAAGTGCAAGTCCCCAAAAATGGGCTATCAAATCTACAGAAAAAGTAAAAAGTACACAATGCAAATGTAATACTTTGCGTCGCGTTTTGGCAAAAAATACAGATGAGTTTTGTAAAAATACAACATTACATGGGCTGAAATATGTGAACAACCGTTTGTTGCACCCCGTTGAGCGGTGTGTAAAAGTTTGAAATTTTAAATGTCTGATTATGGCAACTTAACTTAACGTAACTTAGAACTTAAAAAATCAAAATGAAACAGGCCGCGACGTGACATTAAGTTACGTTAAGTTTCGCCTATCCAAATATAAGCAACATTCATTAAAGAGAGAATTTTTGAGTGACAGCCTCTAAGTTACGTTAAGTTGCCATAATCAGACCTTAAAAATTGTACTTTACTTTTCGTTTAATTTTTATTTTCCTTACAACTCCAGCGCATTTTTCATTGTCTCCGTCTTAGCTGCTTGCATCATATCGATTTTCTACATAATGAACGTCTACGACAAATGGGCTACAACTCCCGTTATCGTTGGTATAAATCCAAAGCCGAATTTCGTTACAAATATCCCGTTTCCAGCTGTGACTATTTGCAACTTGAATCAGGCGCTCAAAGCAAAGGCCATGGAAGCGAATAAGTAAGTTGAGCGCGTCTCCAGGTTAAATAATTGTTTTCATACTATAGTCCAAAAAAAAAAAAGAATCGGCAGAACACTTTTTGTGTCCCGCCAATACCACCAAAAAACCGGGAGTAAAAAGTTGCGAGCGAATTCAATAAATTTTTAAAAACTATTCCGCCATATTGGATCCGCCGTCTTGAATTTCATGGTCAGATTCGTAATCACGGATCAAAATACCTGACATTAAATTTTTAGGTCCATCCCACCGGCAAATTTTTACAGACCGTCCCGTTACCGCCCATTTTTAACACCACAACAGCACTTAGCGCCATAAAACTCACTTATTTAACTCGTGTCTAGTAGCGTTGAACTTGTCGAAGGCCCTCAACACCGTATCTCTCTTTATGCTGCTAGAAGGCATTGTGGGCTTTGCCGTCAATACTCAAATGGTAGATCCCGAGTTTTCTTACTGGTTGGCTATCATCAGTAATAGTATTTTGGAACCGTGGAGACTTAAACAGGGGGTCCCACAGATTGGTGTCCCCTTCATTAGCTTGCTTAATTTCTATATCTATAAACTTCTACGTCCACCAAAAGTAGCTTCACTGATCGGCAATAACATTGATAGACCGTGCCCAAAATTAACCGGTTATGTCTCCGAAAGCGAAGACATGTGTCGAAGTCGAAGACGAAGTGTACGGCAACCATTTTTACCACCTGGACCGAAGAGGTCTGGCTATAGCTGCGAATTCACGTCGACGGCACACCAATTCCGACTTTGAACAACCCAAAGTCACTTTCGACGGTCTGACCTCTTTCTCTGCACTCACAACCGCAATGGGCTACAAAGTGCTGAACTAAATACCGAGCCACAACAACGTCCTCAAGTCGCTTGCTGGTGGCACCTGGGGCAAAGGCAAAGAACCATTGCTGGCAACACTTAATGCAATTGTTTGGTCAGCTCTGAGCTACGCTGCACTAAAATGCTCACCGCGAACGAGTTGCACGCAGTAGACGAAGCTAGAGAACTCTGCTAGGCATATTGCAGTAGCTTAAACTATTTTTTTTTATCGAGACTAGGTCCCGACATAACTGCCGAGGTTATGCCCAGCATGTGAAGGTGCTATTGCATAGACTTGAGGAAAATGTGAACTTGATTTTAGTTCAATTGATATACCACTTATTTACGCTGGTTATTTTTGATCTAGAAACCCCCAAATACGAGCTTTGCTGAAACTGCTTTGCAAAAATGAGTCCACCGAACAACAATCTACAATTAGTTCTGATTGGAGTAATTTGGAGAATATTATCATGAACGTAGGTGTTTAAAAGATAAAATAGATTTCTTACACTATTACTAATATTTCTCTGCAAAATATGCGCTACAGATTTCTCAACCGTGCAAAGATATGATGGTGGCTTGTCGCTTCGCGGCGAATGAATATGACTGCACCAAATACTTTATACCGATCATTACCGATGAGGGACTCTGCTGCGTATTCAACATGGTACATCCGAAGTTTATGTTCATTTCACAGTGAGTTTACGCACTAAAATTTGTCTCATTGCATGAACTTTCATCCCCCTTTTAATTTCACGCAGCACACCGCTTAGCATGAGCAATATTCCCGAACGTGAGTATCAGCCGATTGATTGGTACGCAGAACGAGGCTATCCACCCGATTTAGCCAAACAAATACTATCCTCGTCGCATAGCGGGCACAGGCGAATCGCTGGGTCTGTCCATCACGCTAGACGTCGAGGCTGACAAATACTACTGCTCTTCGACGAATAGTGTCGGTTTCAAGATCTCACTGCATAGCCCAAACGAATCGCCAAATGTGCACGAGACTGGCGTGCTGATTGCGCCCGGCAAGGAGACTAAGGTGCGCGTGCGTCCCGATAAGACGGAGACCACGCAAAAGTTGCGCTCCATAGCTGCCAAATACCGGCGTTGCCTGTTTCACGACGAACGACAGTTACTCTATTTTGCGCACTATACACAGCGCAATTGCGAAATGGAATGTATTGCGGAAATGTTGTTGCAACATTGTGGCTGCATTAGTTTCTACATGCCGAAAATCTATAAGAATGCGACAATATGTAACATCAACGACATGCACTGTGTGGAGATGGTGCGTTTGCGTAAGGATCCTACGATGGCTCGTGTCTGGATACCTGCTGGCCGACTTGTTATGACTTGACCTTCCTGGTAGATGTCTTTGCTATACCGTTATCGAGTGATGGGTTCTTCATTGAAAACCAGCGCGTACAACGGTACAATAGGAGCTATGCCAAGCAGAATATTGCCGTGGTGAATATGTATTTTAAAGAGTATTCCTTTCGGAGTAGCATACAAACAGAGTTCATAGGCACGACGGACTTTTTGTGTAAGGAAGCGCAAATGTATTTAGTTAATTACGTAATTTGTTACTTTTTTTCTTTTCTGAATGATAGCTGCCGTTGGTGGACTAATGGGCTTGTTTCTGGGTTTCAGTTTTATCTCAATAGTTGAACTAGTCTACTATGCCATCATACATCCCATACGCTCCCTGCTACATTTCGAATGCGCCAAAAAGTCATCTGTGGTTGCGGATAGGCTGGCCACTTGTGATAAAACTACGATGTGCCGACAATGGTCGTCGGTTCAACGGTATAAACGATTGCGCAAATACTTACGACTACGTGCAATTTACAGCAAAGCAAACAAGGCAATGAAGAAAAAGTTAGGCTATAAGCGGTTGGTCAGCAGTACCGTTAAACATGATGCCGAACACTCGAAGAAGGAAGTTGAAATGAGAAAGTAGATTTTGGAATATTCAACGGAAGGAGGAAATGCTTAGCGATAATTTCGCAATTTGTATGCGCCTAATACATTAGTTAATTCTCATTAAGTGTAAATTTTCTAAAATAAATTTTTAGAATACATTTTTCTTTTACTAAGTTACTAAAGCGTATACCATTTTGACCAAAAAGCGGTGCAAACTTGAACCTATTGTGCAGAGTTTTAGCAGTAGCCTATAGTATTGAACACTGCTCCGTCACGAAACAAAAATTTTTATTAGCGATTTCAATGCCAGCAAGGCCAATAAATACATTCTCCGACACGATTTTGCACCCATGAAAAAATCAAGCATGGAAAGGAGAGACAAAAAAACAGTACCCGTATTTTACCGTTTTTCTAGCTTAATCATTTACTGTTTCTCTGGGGGAAAACAACCCTTAAAAACCCCTATACTGAATCGGCCAGTGGAATATTGCCCTGTGATTTTTTAAACCTCATTAAACTTGGCCTTCAAGAGTTTTGGGATTGCTGATTACGAATCTGAAGTCAGTTTTTAAAAATTCAAAATGGCGGATCCAATAATTTCGGATTTTTATGAAATTTGATATCCAAAGATTTTTTGAGTCGCTTATTACAAAACTGAAATCAGTTTTCAAAAATTCAAATTACGGATACGATCTAGCGGGTGGATTCAAAAAAAAAAAAATGTTCAGATTTTTATGAAATTCGATATTCCAAGACTCCTTGAGTCGGTGATTCAAAACTCGAGACCGTTTTCAAACTTTCAAAACGGTGGATGCAATTGTGGATAATTACAAAACAAAACTCAAAATTGCAAAACCCAAAATGTGTAATTCATTCGCTGATCCGTATCAACTAATTCATAGACTATTACTGTACTAAAACGATAAGGACATCGGTCTTAAAAGTTAAACATTTATGCAATACTTCTGACACAATTTTGAACCTATAAAAACAAATTTTGAAATTAAAAACTTTATAAACATGTATTGTGTATCAATTGGATCCTATCAAATAATCAAAGTCATGGGTATAATGATGCTGAAGGTTCTGACCCTTCATTTGTTAGGAAGTCATATAAGAGAAGTGTTAGTAGGTATCTTAAAAAAATTTAATAAGCTTCTAACATAAGTATTTACATAAGGCATATGACTTTTTTCCGAAAATTTAATATGCATACATACATATCAGGAGATAAAAATTTGTCAAAATTTGGTACATAAAGTTGCAGCAGGGAACACCGAGGAAGAACGATTTTGGACTGAAAAAAAAATACATACGTATAGGGAAATTTCCATATGACCGCGAAATTTGTTTCTAAAATTTTTTTTTTATTTTTTATTTTTTTTTACTATTTTATTTTCAATTATTATTATTTTTAGTTCGGTTGGGATGGAATTTTCAATATGCAAATGTATATGTTTTTTATTAAGTAGACATTTTTTTCGGATTTTGTTTTACGAAATTTTGACAAAAGCGTTATTTTTGTTGGTTTTTTTTTTCATTCCTCACAAGACGCAATTGCTAAAACAGCTGACTTGATTCGGCTGGGTACATAAATGTCAAAGTTTCATATTTCGCTTAAGTGAGTGAGTGATAAAGTGAGAGTGTCTGTATTTTCTTACCCTCTTTTTCCTTAAAAGAAGAATAGCCGAAATTTAATTTTAAAAAAAAACTCATAGGCCTAATGTACATGTACTGAGGTTTACTTGAGATTTTAGTGTATACTAAGATATGTACATCTATGTGTATGTATGTTTCAGAGTTCATTTATGTAATTAGTAAGAAAAATACTTCAACTAATTTCCACTTAGCCTACAGTACGTTAGGTTGGGGCAATCAAAGTTTTAATAAAACATAAATATGGTCATCTAAGTGCAAGTGCTGCGGGATAATTCTACGCAATTACTTACTTGCTTCGGTGTATGTTACACATTTTTGTTCATAAAATCAAAAGTAATGGCCAAAAAAGCTGAACAGTTTCTTAGAAAGCGGTGATCAGAAAAGGTTTACTAACTGTAATAAACGCTTGATATTGGCAATGGAGTCGCAAATAAAAACCATGAAAGTAATAGAAAAGCCTCCTAATTCATTCTCAAAAACATTTTTGAAAGATAAATCTAGCAAAATCAAGGTATTTGCGCAGAAAAACTGTAAAGATTATTGCGAAGATACTACAATACATGGACTAAAGTATGTAGGGAATAGCAACCTTTTTCTACTTGAAAGGTAAGACTGTACCAACTACATATATTGTACGATTTTTTTTATTATTTTACGAATAAGTTGAGCTTGGATTTCGTTTTAAAAAATTGATAATGTAAGGCGGCGAAAGTATAAATATGGACGTTTAAACAAGTGTCGGCTATTTTTCTTTTGTTTATTATTCTTTTTTATGAAGGTATAGCTTGTTATTTCAAATTTGTACGAAAGTTAATAAAAAAAAATCAACAAAATTGCAAAAAAATTTTAAACTTTTTTAATCAGAATCTTTAGAAAAATTGTGGGTATGCAGCTTTATAGCCAATAAAGTTTTAGTACAATAAAGTGAAAGTTTGAAGTGGCTAAAAATTTCCTTGATTTTTGGTAATTTTTAATGATTTTTTTTTTTGGTTTTTTAGAATATTTTTTGCAATTTCGTTTATTATTGTTGTGCTGGCTGCAGCTTTCTTCGTCGGCAAAATCTACGAAAAGTGGACTCTTACGCCGGTGATTGTCACCATTAATTCCAACCCTACCTCTATAACTCAAGATCCATTTCCAGCTGTAACTATTTGTAATTCAAATCAAGCTTACAAGCAAAAAGCTGAACAATTTTCAATGTAAGTACACACTTTATTTCATGAAAGTCTATGCACTCGTTTATGAAATTTTATTATGAGAGGTCTAGATCCAGGCACTTTTTATGATACCTCGATACATATTTATAATACTCGATTTTTTGTATATTAATCATATTCAGCTAGGTTTTCTTCCAAAGGATTTTTTCGGTGTACCTACTCAGGTTAGGTTCCTTTGAGATAACGCATAAGGTTTGCGGTTATCCCCGTTAACCTATAAACCACTTGGTACTGAGCATAAAAGTATATAAGCTTCTAACATCCATCGCTTTGGGATCATCGAGATCATCGAAGAAATAACTGCCACGAGCTTTTGCTCTCCTCATCCTTTCATCGCTAAAAATGTTTAACCCTTAGTTACTTACGCGTGCTTCACACCACTCCAGAGTTGCCGAGGCATGCGTCTTTTGCACTACATAGGTTCAATACTAGATTCACCATACTCTGACGACTTACCCTACCAGAACAATTTACCCTATACTCCAATAAAATTACGTTTTCCTTAAATCTCAAACACAATCACAAATTACTTTGAAAATTTCCTATAAACAACCCAGTAGAAAAAAGTGGGGGTAAAAAGCAATTACAGAAGGCCTTCTCTGGAATGTAGATGGTCTTACCAACTTCAGGATTTCTTTAATTATTTGTCAGCTCAAAGAAGGGCCTATTTTTTGTGTGTAACACTTCACAGATGCATTTTCGTTATTAAGAAAAAAACAAATAACAAAAAAAGAAAATTATATGTTGTTATCTAACGAGATTCGAACCCGGGCCTTTCTGAAAGCTAACAAATAATAGCAAACATCTCTGCGCCCTCAGCTACAGGACCCTTCCTAACTCTCTCCTTCACAGTCCTTTTAAAAAATTAAAAAAAATATTCCGAGGTTTTCACTTTTGAGGAGAGATTCTGACTGCTATAGTTCCCTCTAATCTCGACAGAGAACAAATGGAGGCGGACCTTAAAATGCCGCCTGGTTTTGCTTCGATCTACTCTGGTTGGCAGGGATTTGCTGAGATATGTTCCGATAACACTGTAGGGACGCTAAAATAACACAAAAATCGCCGATACACGTTAACTTAATTTTGGGGCGTATATTATGGATCTGTATATCGTTCATCTATATCAGGTAATTTTCCTAAGATATTTTAATTTTTGCGAATGAAGAAAAATTAAAAATTTTGGCGTGGAAAATGTTACTCATACGTCGTCATGGGCCTAGCCCGGTGGGGGCAGGGGGGAGCTCGAGCCCCCCTAACTTTCAATTTTTCCCTATATGTATAAAAAATAGTACCCTGAAATTCTAGCTTAATAGTGTCATAAAAACGAAAATATCTTGGGAAAATGACTTGAGCTGGAAGAACAGTATACAGGTCCGAATTCTCTGACTTAAAATAAGGTTTATGTGTCTCGGTGTTTTTTTTTTGTGTCATTCCAAAGCTTGAGAAATTGCCTACGGTGTAATAAAATCGTGGCCAAAAGCGACAACCTTTATCCTCCGTGCCCTCTTTACATATTATTATTTCTTCTTGCCTTATAAGCTTAAGCGATTTCTGTATAGTTTAACTAAAAACGCGGATAATTTTGCACAAAGATTTAAAGCTTTCTATTTTTAAGATTATACAGAAGTAAATAAAACCGAAATTGCTTCGGATGTTCTTTCCTTATTTTAGTTATTCGACTGAATATGCGATGATACAAGTGTTGTGCAATCGTAAAGTGAATGCCACCATTGCGAGTTCGATTACGGATTGGAGCAATTTGCAAAATTTCATTACCGATGTATGGACGGTATAGTATTTTAGAATTACATGCTTGCTAGCAGTGCGTTTGTTGGTAAAAGATCATACGCTAAACAAAATTTAAGTTTCCTCCCAAGAATGGAGCTGCATATGAGCCGTTTATTTTAAAAGTGGTCATTTAACTGTGTTTCAATTCGTTCGACTTCATCAGCCAAAGGTAAAAAGTTTTGTCATGAACAGAGAACTGATTTTTAAGCTGCCTTTACTTGAGGCGATCTTTTGACAGGCGATAATCACATGCAAAAATTGACTGGCTGTCTACCTTGAAGCAAGCGATTTGTTAATCAATATTTACACGAGCGATTTTTCCAGAGCAATGTTGAATCGCCTGGAAAATCGCCTATGTATAGGGCCAAAAAACCTATATAAAAGTGAAAATAAAATAACAAAATTGGCAGCGAAATGCACTCAAAATCGCAAAAAAGGTATAAAAAGGCGAAAAGGGACTAAACACCGAAAACTAAGCAAACAGAGACATTCATTTTAGAGATTTTTAATATGACAAACTGATTGAATATTTTCTGCGTTCGACTTTTAACTCAAAAAACTTTCCTCTCTATAGTTGCAGTAACATTGCACCACAAAATGCATCATTATCCTCAAATGTACATTAGGGCGGGTCAATTTGTGTAGGAGATTTTTTCGACTATACGCTTAAGGCACAGAAAGATTCTACGTGTAATTCTAAGCAAATTTGCCGAAGAAACCACGGGTCCAAAATCAATTTGAAGTATGTCAAATTGCGAAAATAGGTTTCTTAGCATTTTGCTGTAATGTCGTAAAGAAGTGCTTAAATTTTGTATAAAAAATGCTATAAGGAGTTTTGGTATGAGGAATCGATTACTGCACTTATCTTTTTCTTACAACTTCCAAAGGAGGGCGCAACAGCGAAAATTTTCACATTTTCTACGAAACCTATTTTCGCAATTTGGCAAACTGCAAATTTATTTTAAACCCATAGTTTCTTCTTCAAATTTGCTTAGAATTACACGTATGCTATACGTGCATAGGTAAGAAAAAATGACCCTCCCTAATGTACACACTAAACGTGCGCTCGATGTAAGCTAAAACAAATTGAGTCTAATTTTGTATATATACAGATTGCCTGCAATTCTCCAATTAAAAACATAGAAATCAATGAGCTGATCATGGCTTATACTTTCTTTTTGGGGGAAAGAAGAACTAGTATACAAGAATTATTAAAGGTCAATAAATATCAATTGTAAATCGAAGTATCCCAAAAGCTTTTCGTTGATTTTAAAAATTTGGATGCTATTCGATTCTGCGCAAAAATGTTGTGGACAACGTAGCTGGTATTGGACCGACCAGGTTTATTTTTTATTTTATGCTCGGCTCAATGATTTCGACAGTGATTCACAGAAATATTTTGCACAGATTTTTTTACGATATCAAAAATTTGGTCATGGTAAATTTTTTATAAAAAATATAGCTATATTCTACATCAAAAACCATTACAAACGCTGGAGAAAATAAAGTACAATTTAGCAACTTTTTCTAAAAATTTCAAACTTATTTTTTATAAAAATATATTCTACAACAAAAACCATGACCATTTCAAACACTGAAGAAAATTAAGGAAAATTAAGCAAATTTTCGTAAACAATTCAAACTTATTGATTACATTTTTACGAAAAAATCGATTGTGTAGTTCCATTAAATTTCATTAGTGTTGTGTATATTTTTCCATAAAAAAATCGTTATATGGAAGAAAATAGTCAACACTGCCAGTAAAAAAAATTATCCAAAATCAACGGATTGAAAAGTTTGGAGTTTTGTTAAAAATGTGCTGAATTTTCCCTAATGCTCTACAAAGTTTAAAATTTTAATTTAGATAGCTTTTTTTGTAGAGTGAGATTAGGGTTGTTCTTAAAATATCGACATCATAGAACACGCGTTGAACAAAATAAAGACATCCACGAAAATTTTAAAACTCAAGGGCGCTATAACACAGCAAGTTTATGAATATACATGAACAAGTTTCAATAATATGTAAAATTTAGCAGATTTCAAGTCAAAATTGTATCGAACTTTTGCGATGTAAAAAAAAAAATTATTTGTTTTAAAACCGCTATATTTTGTACATAATTGATATTTTGACGGACCACCCTAATATACATACATATATATTTTTTGTCGTCGCACTTTACAAATTTTATTAACGGCTATAAGGTTGGACGAAAAAACGAAGTTGATTTTTTCCAAAACCAGTTGGGCTGTAGGCCCGGCGCTCCAGTCAGCCGTTTCTGAAATATATTCAAAATATTTAAATGTTACCTATACAGCTGTTTTCATATATGTACTAATTTTTCGCAGCGCTGTTCTAAAGTATTGGCATTAATTTTTAATATTAAATTTGTTGAATAGGACCCAGTCGCTTAATTAAAGGCAAAAAAAGGCAAATGTGCTGAAAAAGGCAACATCAAATGTGTACATTAAAAAAAAAAACGAAACTTCCACAAAATCCGTTCTCAGCGCATTACCCCATGTCTCCATTTTCTACTAAATGTGTCTTAACATCTGTCAAATTTCTGTTCTAACTTTTTCCCGTTTTCTCATGTGGGCAACTTGCTGTCTTAACATATCGCTTTCGAATTGGCATCAAGCCAATCAGATCGATCTGTACCCAAAGTAGATAGCGCGGTAAAATGAAAACTGAGTTGTCAAACTACAAAATGACAGCTGACGTTAAGACAGCGATGGTAAGAAATTCGGCAAGACAGATATGGTTTAACAGTAGAAATTTGCACTCTCCACCTGACATTTCTGTCTTGCCACAGCTTTTTTAACAGAATCTGTAGAAGGTGGAGACGTGGGGTTAGTTTATGTCAGTGGAGCGATTTATAGATGCTTTCACTTATGTAGAAGTAACCAACCGTTTCTTTCAAAATAAACGGCTCATATTATCGAATCTGAAATAGGTATGGCTTTACTTTGTTCGGCGTAAGATTTTGTTCTGTTTGAAGTAAACAGGCACAGGAACTAAACTCGCAGAAAACGCGCGCTATAGTTCTCAAGCAAGCATCAACTTAATTCCAGAAAAAATATAAATCATAATTTACTTAGTATGCATTTATTTTTATTTACCAATACTTAGATCTCACAACCCTGCAGTAAAATGTTGCTATTCTGCCAGTTTGGTGGTGTAAAATACAATTGCTCCGAGCTTTTTCACCCAATCATAACTGACAGCGGAATGTGCTGCGTCTTCAATGTGGTAACCCCGAACTTCGTATATAAAGCGTTAAGTCTACATTTTTTTTTTTAAATAATTTTCTTAGATGCTCACATACATATGTAACTTTCACACATCACTTTTACTTACTGCAGTAGAGGGAACGTGAAATGTGATGCGGCTAAATGTCCACTGCCAAATGGAACTGTTGCAGTTGATTGGAGTCCGGAGCGCGGCTACCCTGCCGTATTACCAGAATCCTATAGTCCAATGCATGCAGCAGGCACGGGCGAATCGTTGGGCTTAAAACTGATGTTGGATGTTGAAAGAGATTCCTATTATTGCTCTTCTACGAATAGTGTCGGCTTCAAGATACTGCTGCATAATCCACTCGAAGTGCCTAATATGCGGGAAATTGGTCTACTACTATCGCCCGGCCATGAGACTAAAGTGCGCATTCGGGCATCTAAAACTGAATCTACGCAACATTTACGTTCGTTGAATAAGGAATCGCGTGCTTGTCTTTTCGAAGGTGAATATGTTTTGCATAATTACAAAACGTACACGCAAAGCAATTGTATGGAGGAATGTTTCAAAAAAATTTTGTTAAGATATTGTGGATGTATTACCCATTACATGTTCGATATTTATAGAAATGCATCCATATGCAGCATATACGAAGCCTCGTGTGTGGAACGAGTGCGATTGCAGTCAATGGTGTCTAGAAATGGCAGAGGCTGTGCAAATACTTGTTGGCCTGCCTGCTATGATCTCACCTATTGCCCAGACTTTTTCATCACACCACTATCAGCATCAGGATTTCATACTAAACATCAGTTGGAAAAGAGTAAAGATACATTTTATATGCTACAAAATATGGCTGTGGTAAATATTTACTTCAAAGAAAACTGGTATAGAAGCAGTAAACAGGCGGAGTATGTTGGTATAACGGAATTCTTATGTAAATGCAAGCTACTTAAAAATACTACACTGAGGGAAATAATGCATACTAAAAATTAATACTTTACTTTTCGTTTAAAAATGCTCGTTTTAAAAAAATATTTTCGTACAAAAAATTAGCACACAGAAGTACCCAAGTGAGGAAGTACATTTCTGAGTTCAATTAAATATGTATGCACCGATTTCTAGAGAGGGTCAGTGTTCAAATTCCATTGAAGGCAGCGCGCAAATTAAATATATTTTTTTTTTGTTTTATCTTGATTATTCACTTCATGGATGCTTTTTCAGAACGAACGCGGTCGTTTTAGTATGTGCGTAATTGAATTGAATATTTACCTACATACAGTACTTTCGTTGACGTTTATAGTAATATATCAATTACGTTTCTATTTGATTTTTATAATATTTTTCCCTCAGTGTACATATTGACTTAAGCGATAGCAGAGTTTTGCTAATTCTTTTTTTGTTTTTATTTGCAGCAAATATTNCTTTCGTTGACGTTTATAGTAATATATCAATTACGTTTCTATTTGATTTTCATATTTTTCCCCTCAGTGTACATATTGACTTAAGCGATAGCAGAGTTTTGCTAATTCTTTTTTTGTTTTTATTTGCAGCAAATATAGGCGGTGTTATTGGATTGTTCTTTGGTTTCAGCTTCATATCCGTGGCGGAAATCATTTTCTATTTACTACTAAAGCCCGTTCGCATGTTGATCATTCTGCTTTGGTCAAAACGTACAAAGTCCGCCAAAGTGCGAAAATTGCAAAATTTAAAGCTGTTCGAAAAGCAGTCAATGAACGACTAAAGTTTGTTAGAGCAGAAAAAAAACATATCGCAGAGAAATGGCGGAAGTGAGTACATAAAATAAAGCAAAGTGAAACTTTATGATAGCATCATCGGCGGTTTCCTACCAAAATAGTACGATCATTTCGAAACAAAATCTAAAGTGTTATAATACCAATATCCATGAATGTATTTATGTATGCACATACTTGTCAATTGCACATATGCAATTCAATCTATATAAATACTTCTATTAAAAGAAATTAATGAAACATTTTTCTTAAAGTTTTTCTTTGCTCTAGACAGGTTGGTATTGAAAATTAGACAAATTGGTTAATAATTAGGCCCACCTTCCATAGAATGATATTAACAAATAAAAAGAGTGTGTTGTCCCTATGCACGGAATAAGTGAAACGTGGTCTGAATCTTAACCTCAATAATTAAAAATGCTTCAGTTTTTCGCATAGGTTCGGCTTGGACTTATTCGCGCTACTTGAAGCAAACAGCAGAATTGCATGCGCCTATTCACCCCTGGAACAGCTCAGTTTGTATTCCGTTATTTCTAGAGCCATTTTTGTTCATAAGCCTCATTGTGGCTGCTTTTACAATGTTTTGGTTGATAGGAGGAACATGATAATTATCCCTGTAGATTGGACTGGGTTCTTCTTCATCACAGGTGCCATCGGTGTGCCATTAAAAACATTGCAAAGCGCTTCTCCTACTTACCTATATCTTAAGTGTACTCTCTATATCTTCATGTACCTTGAAATCATTTGAGTTTTGCCTTATTTTTCGTTATTATGTTCTAATAACATTCTTGGCCGCCTATTTCTCCTATTTCCTACATGAGGACTAGCTCCACGGCAATCTTTGTCATACCAGTGGATTTTTCACGTCTTTCGCAAGGCGAATAGATTAGGCGATCAAATCCCACTACTCATCTACGAGTATGCACTTTCCATACAATTCAAGCAAGTGAAGCCACTTTTCAAAACTTTTAGGTTATAGAGGTACATTAGATTTAGAAGAGGAAACAGATCACCTAGCTACCGCGACCAAAACCATCTACTGTACCAAATGTCTATTCGGCTACAGGTCATCTTCGATCCACATACTGCTCAGAAACCATTTAGGTCGTGCGCTTCTAGGTAGGGTGATCACAGGAAGCGAAATCTGGTCCTAGTGAGTGCCACACCAAGTGCTCTGCTGTATTGCCTGTTCTTCGTTGCGCAACATACACTGATTCGAGTTAACAACTCCTATGTTTGACAACTGTTTTATTACTCCTCGGTGGCTGTAAGAAAACCTATAACAATTTTTCTTTCATGCCTACTAAGGTGAAGAAGTCCTTCGGTTCTCCTTGTTGATATGTCCGCACTGAAAGACTTAGCCAGCCTGTTACCTTCCGAATTCGTCCAGTAATATTGTGCTTCGTTTTTCTTCCAGATATATTAGTTTCGCCTAACGGAGCTCCGTGGCACACCAGTAAAGGGTCCTGTTGCTATGCAATGAGTCCCTGGCAGCCCTTTTTCTGGTGAAAATATCTCCCACCTTATTTTCCATGACTCCACTACTGTGTCCCGGTACCCTTTTGAGTACGGTGACCATCCGTCCTGTATTATACGGGACAGTCCTCTTTTTTGACCAATTGGTGTGGTAATTAGTTAATTTTATACGGGACGCTAAATGTTCTGTATTTCTTTTAATGTCCTGTATTTGCCCCGTATTCGATGTTCGTTAATTCGACGCCTTAACAGCTCATTAAAATGGCATGCCTATGAAGCTGTTTTAAATAATATTGGTATATGATCGTAATTTTCTCCATTATCAGCTTTTATTTTCCAATCTGGAAGCCTTTGACTCGAAGTGAGGAATACATACAGTGACCAAAATATAAATTAGGACTATACACTTTAGCAAAGTTTGCCTATTTTTTTTGTTTATTATTTTTTTATGAAAGTAAAGCCCCTTTCCTAATAAAAACCAAATAAATCCAAATATCCGACTTTGTGCAAAAACTATGAAAATTAATTCTGCAAAGTTGCACCAAAATATCGCACTTTTTAATCAGAAAATTTAGAAAAAATTTGCTTGCAGTTTTGTATCTCATTAAAATGAGTACAATAAAGTGCGACGTGCTACTCATTTGCTTCCCTATAACAAAATTTTCGAACATACTTCCTTTGTATGAAAAAAAATGCGTAGCACCAAACAAAAAAAAAAAAAACGTTGCCAAAAATTAACGATTACTCCCAGCTACTTCAAACTTGTACTTCATTATACTAAAATTTAACGAATTTTTTGTAAAAACTGTTGTGGGGTAAAAATCTCGAGAAACGTATCGTACACATGTGTGATGCTACTACAGTGGTGCTGTTTTAAGGCTAATACATCTAGGATCGTTTAAAATGGTTTTAAGATCTTTTAGCATTTGTGGAAAAAATTCGCAAAATTATTTTTGTCCCGTATTCGGCTCCCATAAATATGGTCACCGTACATATGAGGTATACCCGGTTCCTGGAGGGGATAAGTTTTAAAAGCTGAAGACAATCCCACACCAGCTTTGAGGTGACCTCGTGCGCTTTAAGATTGAGGAGCGCCTCTCTGCTGTCCGATTGTATGCAGATGGCGCATACCGTCTTCAAAAGAGTCACAACTCAAAATTTGGCCTTTTTGAGATTATGCGCTAAAAATGTACGCAGAGCCTTTATTTAGCTTTCAGCAAAAGCTGGAGCAAATTTTTGTTATAATTTGTTTAAAAAAAAACCTAAGGTAAAGTCGCCATTGCCATATGATTTTCATGTGCTAAGAAATAGTTTTTCGCGTTTTCTGACAAACGTATTATTTTGAGTTGTGACTCTTTTAAAGACGGTGTGCGATGTGTTTGTTGGTTGCGCCCCTTTCTACATACTGCCTCAGACATAGTTAAATGGCGTACACCTCGGCCTCTGAAAACAGAATTACCTTGCCCCATACCGGTGAAAAGGTTCCGTAAACTTCTGCTTCGATGCCGTGGTCAGTCTTGGGGCCGTCATTGCCGTGTCTTGAAGTTTTGTGTAAAGTAAAAATTTTGGTTCACCCTAATGTACATTGGTAAGTAATTTACTTTTAAGAGCCCTTAAAATTATAGTTTTTTTTTGAATTCTCATGTCTGAAGACACCCAGCGTAATTAGGCAGCGATGTTTATGCTATATTTCCTTAGTAGTAATTTTATTTTATTTCACAATAATTTGGTGGTGTACACTGCAATTTTGCATTCGAATGTTAAATGGAACAAAATGACCGGTTCACTGCAATTAATGAAAAGTTCTTGATTTGCTTTTAAAGGCATACAAATTTACGTACGTACATATTTAAATACTATGTACATATGTATGTATCTCATCAACTTGCAACTTCCAATAGTACCACCTCAACTTATAACTGTTTTTATGCGCATACATATCTGCAATTATAAATTAGTTTACGAATTTCTGCTTCAGTGATAGTGCTTGGTAATAATTCATAGTGCCTTGAGAAATACTTCCTTTAATGGCTTTATTATATGGCTAGTAAAATATGCATGAATTTTCCCCTATGGGTACATACATACATACATCTATTGAAGTATCGAGACAAATATGAGCTTGATCACCCGTGCGATTGGCAATCGCAATGGAGTCGTTGAAGAAAGTGGAACATTTCAAAGAAGAGCACACTGTAGCTATGAAAAACGACGGTATAAGTAAAAAAAGTTTATTGCAAAAGAAATTTTATAAAATCAAAACTGTTCTTAAAAAAAATATAAAAGATTATTGTGAGAATACTTCGATACATGGACTAAAATA